ATCATTATAAACAATTATTAGGAGCTGATTTGGTAAATTGTGCTTTAAAGGCGTTATTAATGAAATAATTACTAACATTTCATCTTGCTATGCTTGCATGATCCATTCTGATCGTTCACGATAAGATTTAGAAAACCAAAAAATCTGCAGATTCATTAAAAAATATTTTTATTTTTCTAGACTTGAAATTTTGGTTGCAACGTTTTAAAACAATAAATACTTTCATGATGCATACTTGTTTCTATCAAATAATGTTTAATAAATTAGAATATATTTGGTGCTCATTTTACATCTCTAAATTTACCATCAATAATTAAAATAAATCACAAGGTAATCCACTAATTTCCGAGCAAATACAGAGAAGGAGATAACGGAAGTCAGAAAAAACTTTAGACTAGCAACTTTGGATAGTTTCAATATTTATGATAAAATTCAGAATTTTAAACGTATTGGATTGTCTACTAACTACAACTTTTGAAATAAATTCTTCTGAAAACGGAATTTCAAGACTAAAGTATATAGTAAGCGTAATCACTATGAAAGGCTGAAGAATCAAATCCTTTTCAACAAGTCTTCAGCTTTTGTAGTTGATTTCGATTTTGCTACATTTATACTTACCGTTTGACATTGGTGATTTCTTGAAAATTTGATTTACAGATTAATAGTTAAGGAATGTTTGAACTGAATTGTCAGGTTGTAAGCACAAAAGCTTCAAGCTTGTATAATGCATCTATCAGAGTTAAATTAAATAAGTTGAAGTAGGAATAAATGACATTAATTGAACACTGATTTTGCCAAATTACAAGCAGTAATGGCTTTCAGAGTACTTTGCACATTCTTAACTTCATTAGTTACTGTTCTTTTTATTAGTTTAAAGTTGCTAATTGAAGATTTTTTCGATTCAAATTCATATCTTTATGAATACAAAAGGATACAAAGTGTCATAGGATTCTGGAATGAACTACTGCGATTTAATTAAGATTTCATGTAACACGTTGCACTGAGGATCTTATTTGCATAATTTGACATGCTATAATTTTAATTTTAAAATGATGATGATTTGCGATAAAACTTAATTGGCATATATTTCATTAGTTACAAAGATAATTACTTGTTAATTTGGATTATTAAAAGTATTTTTGAGGAAATTACTGGAAATAAATTTGTGACTTGATTGCATCAGCTAAATTCGAACTATGGCAATGTAAAATGTTATAACTTGGACTTGGATAAACTTCAAAAATTTTGATAAAAAATCGCTAACAAATCCGTCTTTAGCGGTGTCAACACTATTAAACTGCGAACTTTATCAATTTGCAGTGGCATTATGTTGTAATTTATTACAAAATGATACCAATTATAAATTTTTGAATAATACCACTATTGGATACAAAGTGTCATAGGATTCTGGAATTAACTACTGCGAATTAACTCAAAAATACCACTATTGAATATATGTACTGTACTTCTAAAAGCAACAAGAGAGTATGATACAAGATTCCATTAGACAAAAAATTAGATGCTTTTGTAATCAGAAAAAACTGATCCTCTAGACTTAATAACGTTTAAATTGATTTATTTTGCATTTTCAATAATTTTGTATAATAAGAGTACAGGCATTATTACAAATTCAAATATTAAGAAGCTATTTTGCTAAAATTAAAAAAAACTTAAAGCAATCTCAATTTTGCGAAAAAAGTCTTGCAAATGTGAGCAAGAGCAGAGCACAACAGATTTGAAGAATAAATTAGTTGTTTTGGGAATTTTTAAAAACTGGAATTTAACAAATGGCAGATAACACTTATCGTAAACGAAATTGAGAAAATTGCATTAAATCCGATGGCTTTCAGAAACTCTACTCATTTATCTCAATTTCAAGCTCTTTTTCTAGCCCAAACAAGTAAGTACCTTAGCTCAAGTCTGGAACTATTTGTGTCTTTGCTTATTTTTCCTTAATTTGCATGAATTTCTTCAATCTATCACATTTCACTATCCTATCTTTTTTTAAATTTCGTTTTGCGCTTCCAAATTTAATCAATTAAAAAAATTTTCAACTAATTACTCCAAACTTTCACACATTATTGAATTTTTGTATATATTATTTGAATTACTTTTATTTTAAAACCAAACATTCTAAAAAGGAAATAAATCAAAAAGTTTAATAAAAATGCAAGTTATAAAGTATACTTATTTTATTTATAAAATTGTGTGGCTGTGCAAATTTTGTTCTAAAGAATTGTTGATATTCATTTCTGACTTACTTGTAGATTTGAAATTTCTGTGCACTCACTCTAAAGTTATTACTAAGAGGGTTCAATTTGTACGTATAATATTATTGTCCGTACATAATGCCAAGTAGTGTACAGAGTAATTATGTGCTTTTACTCATCTCATCAGAACTAATGTGAAATTAACAAGCTGAAAATCGAATTCATTCATTATTTAAATTTTCAAAAATGTAAAACCGTTTCTGAAAGCAGTCTAAAAATCATTAAGCAATTTTTGTAAGTGATTTAAAAAGTAATAATTGTTCTAAAATTTCTGAAAAATGTAATAATCTCACTTTTTCTCTATTGTTATTAGGGATAGTTTGTTGCTTTGCACTGCTGTAAGAATAATTTCATTTGCACCACAAATTGAACTTTTACGATAAAGTTTCCGAGAAATGATGCTTAAGATAGAATCCTTTACTTCGCTACCCTGTGTTATTTCGTACGATGTAAGAAATAAAATGTATAATTTTTAAAAAGTTAGGTTATATGTAAATATAAATCATTTTTCTCGAAGTTTTTAACTTAATAAGTTTTGATGTGATTTCGGGAAGAGAAAGTCTAGCGACGCAGTGCAAGAAAATGTTACATCCCGACTATACTGGAAGACCCGATAAAGTCCTGCGATGTATTCTTTAAGGATTCCAAAAGCATTTCCACGCATACGGAGCAATTCCACACAGGAAATCGTCGCTATCGAAAACGAAATCAGAGTCAACACGTAAGTAAGAACCGCAAATACAATAAGAATATATGGGCCGGACATCCTAATAAACGATGAGAAGCGACTAAAAGTAATCCTGATTGAGGTTGGGATCACCAGTTAGGACAAGTTGACAGCAGTCGAGACCTAGAAAAAGCGAAAATATGACCTACTGACTAATGAGCTTGGGTCAGAGATGAAATACCAAAATAATTCTGTGTGTGATGACTTGGGATGGGATTATAACGAGCTTCCACAAACGCTATGCGAAGTAGATTAATATATCAGACCACGTCAAGGCATATATCCAATCGATAATCCTCAAGAAGACGCTCGGACGCATTTCCCTTGACAGTCGATATGGTTTCCACGAGGACGAAGCGAGAACGAAACGAGAACGATGAGTACAACAAATCTGAGCGCGGGACAAGTACTGCCAGAGTTTTGCAATGAGATTCAGCCCAGAATTAATAAAGCGAAAATTAAGACTAGCTTCCACATTTTATTTATTGTTATATTTATTATTACCACTATATTACTAATAAGAAGTACAGTGCACGGTACTGCACGAGTAACAACGTAAATAAATAATGTGACTGGAACTGACGATACTGATCGTTGGATTATTGTAAGTATGAAAGAAAGCATTGAAAGATTTTGGTCTACTTAAGGTAAGTCATACATTGTACTCAAAATGTAGCAAATATCTGTCTCATTTACTATAGACTCAGAAACTGTTAGCCTCCATTCAATCTCAGCATTTTTCATCTTTTCAAAATGTGTTTTACGTACAAATTTATACTGGCAAATCCACAACTTCAAACAGTTTGGGCAAAACAGTCAGACATTTGCACAGTCAACTCACGAAATGACTTTTTGTTCGCGTAAAGTTTTGAATGAATCGGAATTCACAAGATTGATTCTAAAAAGCAGTTCTCAAATCCTACTGTTTTTTCATCATACAGCATTACTGTACACAAGTTTGCATTTTTCTTATTATTTTTCAGGCACTTCAGTATTATTATAAAAGTATTATCTGTCAGATTTGTATGCATAATGTCAATTATAGTGGGTATAAAAGATGATTGGAACATTCATGAAGGATAGTTCATAAAGCTTGAGGGGGCGTCAGAAATATTACTTGACAAGTACTGGAATGTAATAAAAACGATAGATCTTATAAAGCTTCGTGATCCATAAAAATCAAATAGCTCAAACAACTTGTGATTATATATTAATCTGCTCTACTAGAACCTTGCTATTCAATTAATGCTAACATTCTGTAAAATATTACTAAACAATATTGCAGTTAAATTTATTAAATCATATAATTATGACAGAAATTGCTCACTTCTTGCATTTTTATGAATGCACAATTTTTTCTCCACGAGGAGCAATGCTTAATGTCTGAATGATTGCTTGCAGCAAAGCAAGTTTCAGTTCTTTGATTTATTGAATGAATTTAAAATCAAAAACGCATAAAGTTTGGGGTAAAAACGGAAAAAAGGAAAAAAATTGCGGAAATTCAAACAAGGATATTATTAATAACTTCTGAAGTAAAATGGAGAAGAAAAGTGATAAAATACTATGATGCATTCAAAAAATTTGCATAATTTGAAAAGATAACTGTACAATCTATCAGCATGAAGTGCTGGGAGTTTGATACATAGATACAAATTAGTGTCAAAAAGTCAGATCAGTAAAAATTCTGAAAACAAGTCATACACTTGTAAGAGATTAAACAAAATAGTTAGGTGAATTCAATAAGTTGTATATGGTACGAAGAAAATCATATATGTTTTTATTGATTAAATTTGTTGACAAAATAAATGATTCGGTGATTGCGCACATAAACGGTGGTGGGAAATCATAAATATTGACTACATGTAAGAATGAATCCGCTAATTCTGATGGCTTGATGCAGAACAAGGCACGCATTTGAAACTCAATAAATTATATCCGAAAAAATTTCATTAATTTTGTTGTTATGAAATCTTTTTATTTTGTGAATTTTGACTTCACGTAATAATCAAATATAAATATCAGAAGAAAAATACTGATTATTAATTACAATTACAATAAATAAGAAAATTTTTGCATTGAAACAAAAATAACAACGATAACAAGAATAAATACTGGAACAATTACAAGAACACCTTGAGCTGCGACTAACAAAAATATCTCGACGTTGAGCGTTTCCACGTTCGTATTGCCAGTTGTGATGAATACTTGCAAATTCACTCACGCGGTTCATCAACTTGCAAGAATTTGGAAATTCTTTCGCCATTCCCGATTCAAGCAGTAATTCCATCAGTGCTCTGTTAATACCAAGAATATTCAGTTGCTCTTCATTAATGGATTCCAAAACTTCTTGTCAGAATATTTTTACTTTATCAGCGTTTTACTATTAAATAAATAGTTAGTTGTATATCTTTTGCAAATGAGCCTTATGGAAATTTCAGTACGTTTTTTAATAATTAAATGACATTTTTAAATGTAAATAAGTTAATTTCAGTTTATTTTAGCCTTACGTATATTTTATTTGCATTAATTGCACTAAAATTTTGTATCAATTTTGTGGTCACTGTATTATTAACTGTATGATATGATTACTTCAATCCATTTATAGTTTTTTCACTTTTAATCAAATAAGTAATAAAATAAGTATGCAAATAATGGTCTAAAAGTACTTTCACGGAGCTGATCAAAATTTTACATTTTGGAGTAATCATCAAACTGCAAAGCAATATTTTCATAGTTTAGTGCTTAATTAAAATTTATGCATTTTTGAAGGATTTATTTTGCATAAAGCAAAGTTTTGTGATCTGATATGTGTAGAATTAATTATATTACATTCAATATCGGTTAGCAATGTGATTTAATTACAAAATATATTCATTTCAAAGAGCAAAAATAAAAATGAAAATACAAACTGAAAGCTTCGTCCATTTAAATTTGTTATAAATTCATACATTTTTGAGCCACAAAGTTTATTTGCTTGTTTTGCATAACATTTATCGTACATTCCAACACTTCTGAAATATTATTTCAAATCAAATCATAGTAATAAGTCATTAAGTGAATAATATTATTAACCAATAATCCATATAATAATCACTAATGATTGGGTTCACTCTAAAGGCTAAAACTGAGAAGTTTTTAATCCTACAACTTTATCAATACATTTATCAAACTTTTCATGCGAATTACTAATTAATCTATTCACAAACTTAATTTATAGTTTCTAACTGGAATGTGACAGTAATTAAGATCAATGATGAATCCTGTCTCAGTTCTTGATGGTTTATTAATACATTGCTAATGAGATTATTTTAGTAAAAGTTATGAAAAGTATATGAAAATTAAAACATTGTTAAGCACTATGCAAATTTTTGGCACTGACCTGCATAAATCGTCAAGATGTTCGTTAATGGCATAAATTCCACTGTCAATCAAGCTTGATACAGTACGTTGCACTAGAGCTGCTTGCGAGCCACATAAAATAGCAATATCATCACCATGCTCCGACCAGCATGGCATCACAAATGATAAAAATTCATCTAAATATATCTTTTGCATATTTTATGTCAATCCCAACAATTTTGATTGCTTAATTGGATTGTATTCAAAATAACACTTAGAAAAATCAATTCGTTCATAATTGACACATTCACTGGTTATGACTTCTTTGATCAAACTCATAGCATTGTTTATTATGCTTGTTTTAATTTATATTTACGTTCAAAAATACGTAATTTTATTGATTTTCAAATTTTGAGCAGATGCAAAATATGATTTTTAGTGATTAAGTTGATCACAACAAGCCTGTATTGAAGTGGTAAGCATCACAAATGCTTGTCCATGAAGTTTGACCTTTCAGCAGTATATGTCCAGTGCTTTGCTCTCCGCACCGCTTTATACAGTCTTTAAATTCCAAATTCACTCTGAAACTCATGCACATTTATTGTTAATTATTCAAGTAGTAATTAGATAAATTACAGTAAATTAAATACTGCGCAATATAGCAGAGATATATGCATATTATTGCCGAATCATCGGTAATTTTAATATTTTGCAGTCCATAAAACAAATAAGCACCTCATTAAGATGCATTTATAACATCAGTGATTCAATAGTACGTAGATGTCACTACAGTAATTCAAGTAATGCTATTAATTTTATTCCAAAATCTTTGGCTAACCAAAAAAGTTAAATTTTTCAATATAACAAGTCTTTTAAAATTGTACACGCAATCCATTGCTGTATTCATGCCTGTGCAACAGCAAAAATGTTAATGGTTTGAAGTACATCAGAATACAGAAATAAAATATTGAATTATAATCATAATTATCAAGTATGTAAGCTAGTAATTATTGAATTTATCTATAGATAATGAATAAATGATACCTGCAAACACTATCCATTCGTTGAGTGAAAGTTTTGAAACGATGGCGAGAATTAGTCGGAAGGTCACGTAAAATACGTTGTAAAGGAGCAGTTAGATCCATCGCCCAATTATCAGTTGAACCCACAATACGTGTCATACTGTACATCTGAGACTTATTAGTTTAAATACTGCGTAAACCAGAAAACTGTGCAGTTATTTTTTCCACAGTACCAATTACGTTAGCCTAATTAATTAAAGATAAATATTCAAAAATTTCAACGAAAAAGAAAAAATGCATGCCTGTGCTGCTGCAACATACATTTGAATCTTCCACTATCACTAACTTTATTTAAAGGAAAACTTTTTTAGCTATTCTAAAAATTTTTCGAAAAATAATGGACTTTCAGTTGCTCAAGTAATATTCAGTAAAGTAGCAATAATTTGTTTAAAATACATTCCTCTAATTCATCTGACTTTTAGATGTATGCAAAGAGTTGTGTGAAATTTGCATGCAATGCACTAACGTTATTATCTTTGCAGCGTAATATGCACGTGGATGATTGACTGGATACTTCAACTAGAATCTCATAAATGATCAAGTAGAATACTAGGCAAAAGCAATTCTTTCGATGATTGCTTGCGGTCATTTTTTTCTTCAGTTTCTATTTTATAATACTGTTTACACTCATTGTAATCTGAAATTCAGTAAATTAAAAAGAGTAAATAAGTACTGTAGATTAAAATCAAAATTGACCGTTCGGCTAAACTGTTGACAATATTTCGACAATTTTTAATTTTTAATTCAAAACTTTTCTATACAAAAATTCATTTTGAAACTTTAAAAATTTTCCATTTTCGTTACGCAAGATCAAATTTTTTCTCACTTTAATTACCTGAAAGTATAAAGATCAAATCTGAATTTTACCTTCTTATACTTGCAATACCTTATTTTGCTGAACTCTAGACACATACAGATATTAAAGGTCACGTGATAATATGTAAACATTCTAATTTTTATACATCTTTTAACTTAATCATCTGAAATTTATCATCAAAATTGCTTGCTTAAAAGCAAAACCAATCATAGTTATTTGGTAAATGAAATTTAATATTTAAAAAAAGTAGAAATATTGCATGCTTGAACTTTTAAAAAAATTCAGCTAAAATTAAGAGCGAAAATCAAGCTAAACTGAAGACTAACTTTTTGGATGAATGAAGTTCCGAAAATTCTTGAATGACTTGACTGAGACGAAGCTTAAAAAGCAATATTTTACTCAAAGGTTCAAAAAAAACATATTAGTCTGATAAGACTTGGGATTTGACATTATGACATCAAAACTAATGAATAAATTAAATAACACAGTAGTGATAATTAGATTAGATTATATTATATTGAAAAAATTATTAATACGAGTTTATGGAGTTTGGATTATTTTAAAATTAAAAAACTCTCTTTTAAAAGTAAAAAACTTACAAATGCTTATTTCTAATGTAATTTAATTTTTGATTCAAATCAGATTATTTGAATTAAAAATTATAAATGGTGCGAAAAATGAAAACAAACTGATGTTTTAAATAAAGAAAATTAAAAAGTTAATGTGTAGCAGTGTGTAGCATGGCTTGCCACATATAACGAACAATCAAAGAATGAGACATATTTTATTAAGGTTCAGCAATCAATTTGCTAGAAGTATGACAAGAATTTAAAGGATAAATTTCTCCGCGGAATCCCGGGGGAAAATTTCAATACCAAAAATTTGTTTGCTGGATAGAATACGAAACTAGTTAAAATGATTAAAAATATTTTTTGAATGCTTGGAATTTATTGTTTTTTTTTTGATTTTCATGAAAATTTTGCACAATTTTTGCATTACTTTTCTGTTTAATTTGTAATTTAATTCTAATCAGACGATGAAAACTTTTATTACCTCCAAATAAAACTGTGATTATTTTGATCGTTTATCAAGCGTTTCAAAAAATTTTCAAAGTGCAGTGAGTTTGCTATTGCTAGAGAGAATATGCTTATAAAAGTCAAGTGTGCTGATATTATTGTCAAATTTAATTTACTTTTTAAGGTCAATTTTCACAAAAATATCCGATGTCTTAGCAGAAAGATTTATTTTTAATAATTTACTGGTGAAAAAGTGTTTGTGAGTATATCTGCATATTTTAATTAAAAATTTTGCTATTTTTTGATAACAATTTTATAAGTTTATTTTGGGGAAAATTTTATTACCAAATCATGCAAATTTCTTTTTCAGTTCTCTACTACGAATGAAGTTTTAAGATGATAAAGTTTGATCAGAAAGTTTGTTTTAGAACTGAATTAATGAATTATTACCAACTGTAAGTAATTGTCAGTAAAACAGCTCAATATAATAATTTTTCACGATGAAATGATAAAATTTTATATTAAATTTAAGTTCGTTTGCACGAAGCATTCTGGAAAAATTGAATATTCCATTATTAGAATATTCACTCCTAATCTAGCAAAGAAAATGTTTGTAAAATCTTTTATTTTTATAGCCTGTGGCTGAGAATTAATCAACAGAAGCTTCGTGACTTGCAAAAAAATGCTAATATCTTAGGATATATTTAAGCTGTGCGACTAAATTCTAGAATGCTCCATTTTTTTGTCAAAATAATGATGTCTTAAATTACTTCTACTTTCACATTCATTTTTGGCATTTCATCTAAAATGAATGCTGAAACAAAACTTCGATCGAAAAATGATTGAAAGCATAATTGCAAACAACTATATTTGTTTCTAGTATTTTGAATCAGAAATAACTGACATAAATATAATCATTTGCTATGATTAGTGAAATAATGAGAAAAATGCTATAGTTAATGTTTCTGGAGCAATTTCTGTGAATATTTGATTAGTAATTGATTGTCGAATAGAATCTATTCATTGTAAGGACCAATTGTAGATCAGTACTGTGATTAGATCAATGATTTTGAGTAAAGAAACTTTTAGTACTAAATTATTTTACTACTGAAATAGATGACAAATGAAGTTTTAATTTTTTACATGCAACAAAGAATAATTTTCAGCTTTTAAAGTTCTCCAACAACACTGTAATGGGTAAAACTGTGAAGAATCCACACATTATTTTTGTTTTTCAAGCTCTTTGTTCCTCGATTTCCTGCTTTCTTCCAAGAGCAAATTCTTTACAATTGATACTCTTCCGTTAGAATAAAAAACTGAGATTCAAGAAGACTTTATTCCGAGAAGCAAACTTTTCATTTCACGCATTATATAATTAATTGTATGCAATAAATTGTAATCATTCGTAATAAAACTCGTATGAAATAAGCAAAATATTAGAACATTACATTACGAATTTTCAACATGTATCATACAATTCCAGTTGTAAACATGCATACATAAGCTATTATTTAAAATTTTCATATTTTAGCATGATTACCAAAGAATAAATCAGTTTCATCAACTTTAACATTGACACTCATAAACATTATTATTGCAAATACGAAACTTTTTCTATAAATCTTGCTAGATTTATTCACTAACAATGCAAATCTTATCATTATCTTTGTGCTTATTTGTGATTAGCTTAATTATTCTTCATTTACAGTTATAGCTCAAAAACTGAATTGCAATTGAACCGCCAAGTATACAAAATTGTTTATTCTCACTAAATTACTAAATTAAATAAAATGAATAAAAGCTGCAAATATTTTGATATAATATTTCAACAGAATTTCGCATGAATGGCAATCGTTTGAATGTCATTTCAGTAAAAGATAAAAACAATTTTTTAATATGTAATTAAATAAAAATGTGAAAAGTACACAATATCTAGCAGCTAAAATTCTTACTAATCAAAGCACATTACATTTCTGTACCTTTCACTTCACTCGTTACATCTGCAAAAACCTAAAAATTTCAGATATAGAAAGGCACATTTTATGAAACTGAGAAAGCTTTGCAAAAAAATTTTAAGTAAAACAGCACAGGTATACAAGTCAAACTATAAACAATAATAATGCAAAAATATAAAAATACTCAAATGCTTATAATTAACCAAAACATTAAGTATAACTCTGATATGTACAAAGAACAAACTACGGCTAGTACTGTTTCTTTCTCCCAAGAAATCAGTCATTTTTGGTTTTAATTTGTTAATAACTAGTTAGTTGTAAATGGTTTCAACTTCACGTTATACTGTTCGAAAAAAGGACTTTCTTCATGGCTTCGTTAATTTGCTAAACAGAAAACCTTTCTATCTGCCCTTTATTTTTTTGCAATTGCAAATGCTGTGTAAATTAAAAATATATCTACAAATCCATGGATTACTATCTTTTCACTAATTACTAATTTGTTGACTTGTACTCAATAAACAAATATAACATCCAACTCTTCGCTAGCTTACCATCAAGAATTAAGGAAACATATAAATAGATACGATTTCTTATGGTAGCTCACAATTACTAACAGTTACTAAACTTTGTATGTTACATTTGTTATGGCAATAGCCCAAGTGAAATAAACAGAAGTGACTGAAAAAGTGAACCCGAATCATGAACAAATTACAGCACGTTACGTTCACAGTACTTGAGGAAAGTATTTTCAGATAAAAATTATTAGAAAATGTTCCTCTAAGATTAATTCATTCTACTCACAACTATACATTATAATATGCCGCGGGTGGTTGCTGCACGTGAGACATATACGAATGACGAGAATACGATAACCGCAATGTTCTCTGATCATAACCAAACGGTAATACTCCATTACTGTATATTAAATTTTCATCATAATGTTGTTGCACAGATGAATTCGGGAATTTCGATGGCATCCAACTATTTTGTTGCATCGTATTGACCTGAAGAAAAAGTAAATGGCAGTTTTATTGTCATATTGTGTATGGATGAAAATTGAAAACTTTTTAATAAATGAACTTGATGATAAACTGTGAATTATCTCTGCAAAAGGTTAATTTTACATCAGAAACAGCCGGTAATGTATGAAATATAGAAAGATTAATATTTCATGATCTAGTCTTCATCCTGGAATTACTAACTAAAATGGTAAGACCAGACCACAACCCTACTACCATATTTCGAGTATTTTTCAATCTCTTTACATATGAATGTTTCTGAAAATTACATCAACTTGCGTAAGCAACAAATGCCAATATATTAAAGCATTAATTACTGTATACGATTTGAAATCAAAGATTCACGTTTATATAATTATGTCACAGTACTGTATGCCATCTTTTTATAAATTGTAATACTATAACTAATATATTATACTATCAATTTTTGGATTAGATGCAATCACATCATAACTGATTAAGAATGAAAATTTTAATATTCTCACAAAAATAGCGTCCTACAAAAATAAATCGTGAGATAGAATATTTTTAAAATTTCATACAAACCATTTGTGGTGGACTGGTACCACTGAGATGATCAGAGTGTGGTGAAAGCATAACAGAAGACGCCTGAAGCACTGTACTTTCAGGATGAGATGTTACAGGCTGCATCACGTTAGGTCCACGTATCATTCCAACTGCTGTTCCCTGTATAACTGCCATATTTGAATCATGTGGTGATGGAGTGGTTGAATAATTAGAGCCATCTGAATTCGGTGGAGTTAGTGGATTTGCTGATTGAGCTGCTGTCATCACATTTTGTAGATATGCTGGTGACTGGTTTTTCTTTATCATTCTCTGGAAAATGAATTTATTTGGTGAATTTACTTCTGATTTCTGGCAAATTTTCAAAGCATACTGATCAATACTTTCAGTCAGCACTTGACATAGGAAATCAATAAGTAAAAAATTGGCTGAAATCAAGGAGGAAGCCAAATTCTTACTGTCGTTTTTCTCAGTGATTTTTTGAACCGCTGCTGTGCTGAGAGCGTTAAACTGGTAGTCATATTAGAAGGCAAAATTCTTGGAGTGAGTACTGTATCTAAGTAATGTACTATATCTCGAAATTCCTTCTCCGCTGCAACATCACGCGGTGATCTTTCCTTCTGATCAGTAATTTCTTTGCTAGCACCGAAACTAATCAAACATTCCACAGCATCAAGATGACCTTCAGATGCTGCCAGAAATAACGGAGTCTGATCCTGAATTACTTAGTAATTATGTTTTTTATTAATATTATTTGTTAATTGCTTATTATACTTTATTCTCACACTTTTTATTATTACCATTAACAAGTTGTTTTTAAAAATCTTTTACAAGTTTTTTTAAATAGGTCTAATTACATTCACAATTTTTGACAAAACAAAGAATGTCTATCAGTGTTACTTTTAATTTACTTACGAGTGCATCCTGCGCATCCTTATTTGCACCATTATGGATGAGTAGCCGAATAATATCCAAATTAGCATGTTGAGCAGCAAAATGCAACGCTGTTCTACCATCATATTTGATTAAAGTTTTACTACCTGCGCAGGATACATCTGCTTTAGCTTTTAATAACATTTCAGCTATTTCTGTACCCATTCGGACATCAAACTTTGAACAGATAATCAGTGGTGTTCGATTGTCTTCATCTAATGCATCAACCTACAGAAAACACAGCTGATTGATAAAGTAGAGAGATAGATTCGACGTATTAAAATAACTACATCTTTTGTTGACTATTTATAGAAGAACCAAAGCATCGATGAAACTTTGTCTTTGTCTTAAAAGAACTAATCAATCACATGTCTAATTATCAGAAAAAGTTGATAAAAGCAAAAAATTCTTTATCAAGAATAATACCGAAACTCACATCAATTTTTCTAGTATCCAAAAGCAACTGCACAATACTGGGAATATTTACAGCAACTGCGTGATGTAATGGAGTACGGTCCTTCTCGTCTACTAACCTTGGGTCAGCACCGTTTTTTAGCAAACAGTCAACAACTGCTGTTCGACCGCTTTTTACTGCTAGCATCAACGCTGTATCTTCACTATCATCTTGCGCATCAATTTCTGCCCCAACTTTTAACAAATTACAAATATCTTCGCAAGACGCTTCTTCGCTCTTTGCTTGATTCGACGCTGTTTGCATCATTGGTGTACGTCCATGTTTTCCACGTATGTTTACTAATGATGCATCAATCTACAATGAACCATTAGAAATAAATCGATGGTACAGTTAAGTTTAATTAGATTGAATTTCAGTAATAAAAGTTAATTCTCAAATCAATTTTCGTAAAATTAGCTAATATCAGATATCCGCAAAATTATCGAGTTAGTAAATGACTACTGATAAGATTGTTTCCAGTCGTTAAATTAAAACAAACTGGTAAAGCAATAGCCATGGTAGAATCAGCAGACTCATGCAAAGTTGTCCATTGTCTTTCATCAACACCTGGAGATTTCGGCTTTAAAAATGATTGCGTATCTTCACCGATGTACAAATTTGGATGGCTTATGCTAGTGCTAGAGGGTACATTATCGTTCCGAGAACGCTTTGAACTATTGTAATTATTGAACAAGAATCCATTATGCATACTAAAAGTATCCAAATTTGCAGTTGAAGATTTGCCTGAAAAACACTAGCTCAATAATGAGTCAATTTATGTATTTATTTAAACTGAATCGATTATTTATTTGAATATGATGTGTATTTACGTGACTACACGATGACTCAAGTTTTACTTTTCAAATATTTTATATCAAACTTTACTTAATATTTTAAATTAATTTAATAGATCATTGAGATTTGATCTATCATCACAAAATAAAGTGATGGAAAAAACTATTCGATCAAACAAATATCACTTATTTAATCTTACAACTTTCTGATGGAGGAGGATGCCATATACGAGCATGAAGTGTTTTTCGTTTTCGTCCTTGCTGAATCATAACATATGCAACAAGAATAGAAGCAACAATGGACAAGAAACAGATCAAGACAGTTTGCCAAGTCAATCCGCTAACTTGTTTGCTGTCATCTAGTTCAACGCGAGCTGAATACATTGGCATACCAAGTTCTTGTAATTCCTGAAAACTATGGTGACATTTAATTCGTACTCTGTATTTGAAAACAAAAACAGTTCATTTTGACGAAACAGTTCATTTTGATTAATTTAGCATAGTACAAAACTTTTGCTTACTTCCAAACAATACAAAACAGTCACTGTATGTTATCTCTAAGAAAAGTACTCAGAATTCTATAATTTTCGATATACTACAGGACAGGATACAGAATTCCGCAAAAGTCTGAATAATCAAATTTGACAGCTGGGAACAGTTTTCAAGTTTGTTGTTAGCAAATTTTACATAGTCATTGACCTAATTACTGAATCAGATCATAATAAAATTATTTTCCTGCCTGTTTAGCATTTGCAGCTCCCAAGTAATCTACCACACTGAAAAGATCAGTGAAGCATTCCTCGCGGTCAATCTTACGACAAAATGTTACATCAACAGTAATCATTATCATTGTACCCCGTAAATTATCTGCTGAAAAAAGAATAACCGTTAAATTATGTGAAAAATGTTATTTTGGAGCTATTTACAAAAAATTCTTTCAAAAGCAAAGTAGCAAATTTTTTGATAAAGTTTTGATACAAGTTTAATGAACACGAAATTTGCAACCAAAGGTTTTTTCATACAATGAAGTTTACAGCAGATATTCGAATATGAGAATTCTCTTAATAAACCTTTAATTGCTACTATGAAACGCATATTAATTGCTAAAAACAAAAACACAACTTTTCTACAGTCAAACTTATCTGATCGACCAAAAGATAATTAGATCTAAGTTCTATAATATATAATTGATGGCAAAAAGTATACTCTGTCGTTTGATACGGTGGAAAGTAGAAACGAGTAGATGTTGCTGTTCTGGTGATACATCATACAATGGTCCAACACCATTTTCTGAGCTCCATGAATATATCATCGGTTTTCCATTTTTAATTCTAATACGCACTGATCCACGTATCTTCTGACTTAAAGTGAAAAGGAAAGCTTGCGCATTATGTAGAAATTCTTCTGGACTTATCAGAAGTACCACTATTATATTTCCTGTCAACTGAAAATATTTGTTAAGCATTGCAAAATTTCATTAGACTATGTAAAAAAATTATATTTTACTTATAAAATGTCAGACCAAAAATAAAATAATAATTTAGTTGAATTTGGTTTGAAAATGATGAAAATTTACGAAGTCTTGGGACAAAAAATAACGTTTTATTAAACAAACCGATGTATCAGAATCAATCAAATTACAATCTCCGCCATCCCAACCACAACTGATAATATTACATTCTTGATCACACTGCCCATCACCATAATGACCTGCACAGTAATCGTTTTTAGGGCACCTTTCAGGAATGCCATCACAGTCAAATCCATCGAACAAACAGTCTTGATTATTACACAGCTGAAACCAATAACACTCTTTTACATGGATAAACTTGTCTGCTTTCTTTTTGGTAACAATTTTAAAGTTACTTTTAACTTTGCTTTTTTGATATTTTGTTCAAAATTTCAGAAAAATCCCAACTTTTAACCTTTATCACTAATAATCACCTTAGAATTTACGGACTTACCAGGTCACATTTTTCATCTCTGAAGACATGAGCACAGTAACTTGGTGACTGACATTTTTCAAAAGGTTTTATACCAGCACTGCAGTCACCACCGTCGTAGTTACAAGCGTAATAGTTGCAGGTTTGATCACAAACTTTGTTACCTGCCTTGAATGAATAGATAATTAAAAATCTATCGCCTAATCCTCCCTACTAAACATGTTATTACTTTGACAACTTGAAATACAAGAAATTCTCAAAATCAATCAAAGCAAAATGCAAAATTTTCAACAAATTATATTTTCATACACAAGTTCTCCGAAGCAATCCCTTACAAATACTTGTGGAATCATTGAAATTTAATTGAAAAAAAATTAAATAGACTAAAACTTGGACACAGGTGAGTATAATAATCATTATTGTATCATCTGATAACAACCTTTGCAGCACAGTCGTGCTTAGCACACAATTCTTGCTCTAGAAGATCTGTGACATTGAACTGCTCTAAATCGATTTGATGCTGACAATTTCTCCCGGTAAAACCCCGCTGACAACGACACCGATACGAGTTTACGCCATCTACGCAAGTTCCACCGTTCAAGCACAACCTGTAAATAATTCACATGACACTTAATAAATTTCAACACTAGAAATAATTCAGAACTAAAATTTTATACTCTGGAACTACTAGTAATGAGCTCTAAGTTCAGTGCAACTACCAAAAAGTCAAAATAAGTGAGTGAAAGATTTTTTTCGAAAAGTAAAAAGTTCACAATATTGTGAAATAAGTGAAGTATCAGGACGTCACGTGTTACGTTTATGACACGTATAATTTGCAAACAAGATTTGGCTTAATCAAAACTTTCAACTCTCCAAACAGCAATTTTTTTCATAAACATATTTTTGAAAATAATAGTACTTTTGTATTTTTTAAATTTATTCTTCTCCAGTTTCCGTCCAATTTATATCTCTAACTTCGAAACTTATAGTCCATATTTTTTGAAGTGCTACCACATATTTCTGAACTCTATTCCACAATCAAATTTCAAATTTTAAATTTAACACTTTCACTTCCTTCATTTCTTTAATCTCTGTTACAAAGTTTAATAATATCACAGAAAATTCTTTACTTCTTGGCATCAACGATCTTCGAGAAATATGCAAATTATATGTTAATTAATATATGTTTTATTAACTAATGGAGAGGTCACCTTATATATATCACCAGAGGTAAACATTTTCTTAAAATGCTACTTTGCAAACTAGCTAATAATTTTTCAGTAACCGGTACTCAGAGTACGGTAATGACCCCTTGCTACGGGCAAGTACTCACATCAAGCATTGATTTAAAGATAATTTGCAAATTAATCCTTCAACAAACAATGCAAGGTTTCAGAATGTTGTAATGTCCACACAAAAGCCCCAAGATGAAGTGTGAGAGTTTGAGCATTTATTGGTGAAGGTAACTTTATAAGATCATTTACTTATTCTTAAATCTGATAGCAGTAAATATTAGAAGTATTTATGTGTGTGTGAAAATAATCACTCCTTTCTGTTTATTTATTTATCTAGCTCAAAAAATGCCCAAGTGGTGCAAGAAGTGCTATTTGCCCACTAAATTTAAGCATCATCATCCCATAACTCAACGAGCACTTCAAAGTTTGCATTAAAGTTTAGACAAATCGCAAATTGGATTCCAGACGATTAGAATTATTTCACGTTTATTTACTTACCTAATTTCTATTTGTGTTGCCTCTTTCAGCTCAATCAAAAACCATTCTTGAAACTCGCAGGAAACTTAAATCAGACTGCACTAGTAGTAATTTGCATAAAAAGTTTTTCACTATTTTGTTCTGATACAAGTCCATTATTATTTTTCATGCTATTAGACGTAAAGTACAGAGAATGGAAAGTAAGCAAAAGTCGTAAAAATTATTCTAAGTGTTATTTTAGTGCCTTTTGCGCACAATCAGTCGACCCAATGCAATAAAGCTGTAAGTACCAAACGTCCGTTTTCGATTACTACTCGCTCTATTGTACCTTTTTTCTATCAACAAACTATGCAAGCATCTAAAAGTGGCATTAGCTTGTCTTCTGAACTAATAAACACTATGTAGACATATAATAAGCATTATTTCGGACTTATCAAGAAGTGAGCTATCTTACTCTGCATCACACTACAATAAGTGATATAAGTAAGTATGAGCCAACTTAATTTTTGCCTTACAGTACAAGATATTATGTATCTACTGACCACTTATCACTACTGTATGAACCGGCGATTATAAAGCACTGATATAATGGAACTCTCTCTACATTATTACGCCGCGTATGATCTAGTGTTCAGCTTATATCACTATTACGTGGTTCTCAAAGATAAATACTGATTTGAAGAAAATACTGCTCAAATGAACCACTTTTTAAAATGAATTCGTAAAACAACAATAAAAATGTCTAGATGACTGCAGCACTGATGATACAGTCAATATTAATGTGTTTATTGCTACAATACTTACATTATTATTACTACGTCAAATTTGCGATGACAGCGTGTGGCATTACTATGAATGCTATTAATATGCGTGATACTACTGTAATAGAGTTTTGCAGTTATGTGATAAGTTCTCAAGTTTGATCATGTTTAATATTACTACAGTACAGATCAAATTTACAATATTTACACTTTTCATCCGATCCCTCTGAGACCTGTCTCTTGATCCATCTGTTACTTGCTTCTAATTTTTATAAATGTGGTAATTAGCTGAAACCTGAGTACTACTATAACGTGCAAATGCTGACTGATCTTCATTCCAACCTTTACCGAATAATTTTAGCTGTAATTATTTTTTCCTGAGCTTTGCCCCACTTTTAGTTATGCTAATTATCTGTTTTAACAACAATTACTGCTCACGTCATTTCTTTCCTCTTCTCAGTAATCAAACAGAAATAGGCAGTAGAATTATGCAATAAAAGTACGAGAGTGCCACCTAGGAACTACATATCGTCAAATAATAGCCATAATGCTTGGGAAAACTAAATATTTTTTAACTTTAAGAAGCAAGCAATTGACGCTCTGAAATTCATGCAACACAAAATAAACGGTACTGCCAGTAAGTCAAAAAATAAATACTGAATATTACTTATATTTTCATGTCTGCTATTTTCTATCAATGAGAAGATTTATACCCCGGTTGACAGTCATCATCGTTGGTTTGACAAAGTGTCCCAGTGAAGCCACTTCGACACACGCATTCAAAACCATTCACGTGATCGACACAAGTCGCGCCATTCTCGCATGGTGATGTTCCACATTCGTTGATATTTGTGGCACATTCACGTCCAGTGAAACCTGTTGGGCAATCACAGTGATAACCATTCAATTCATCGATACAGTGACCCCCGTTTAAACATGGATCTGCAACAAAATTCACATAGAAGTGATCAGCTTGAGTCTAACATTTATTTCATTCCCAAAAATTTATTACACAACTCATTCTCACTCATAATTCACTTTTATGCATTCTTGCTTTTTTTTGACGTGGACCGCATGTGACTATCGAATATTTGTTTAGAAAACTTCCTTAATTTTTACTTACAACATCATAGTTACAGTGATTATTTTATTCAAATTGGAAAATAAAGAATCTGAGTTCATCTTTTAAACTGAAGATAAAATTTGAGATTACTTTTGAACTTTTGGTCATTTTTTAACTTCAAACTATAAATACAAACAGAAATGGAGAAAATAAATAAAGATCAAATACTTGGTAAGCAATCATTTCGATCATTGTCACAATTTTTACCGGTATAACCATATGGACAATTACACTGGTATGAACCGAATATGTTTGTGCATGTGCCACCATTTACACATGGATTATTCACAACACATTCATTGATATCCTGTAAAATTAAATTAAATCCTTAGTTAATAACTAAGAATTTATGCAAAAATTATGATAGTATTTTCGAAATTCATCAGAAATTTCAAACCATAAATATTAATATCCTTGAAGCACAATACAAAATTATGAGTACTTACAATGTCACAGTAATATCCACCAAAGCCGCTAGTACAAATACAAGTATAATTTTTATAAGTCGGTGTTGGTTTACAAACTGCTGCATTTTCACAGTGATTTGATCGGCAAGGATTTAATCTGAAATATACTTTACCGTGGAAAAAGCATATAACGAATTTCTGCATAGTAGTTCATATGTCTCTAAGACACAAATCAAAATTTGATTTTTCAAAAAGTGGAAATCATTAAATTTGTAATAAATTTTAGAAGAGTGCACGCATACTATATGCTATTATATAGTATATATGAAAAGTACAAAATAAAGATTTTAGATCAAAATAAAAATTAGGCAAAATTTTTCTACCCAAAAAGTTGTGACAACTGAGATCATTTAAACTCAAAAGATTTCTGAGTTTTCAGCAAATAATAATTTTGACATAGAAAATAAAGGTCAAAAATTTTTTTGTTACTAAAAATTATAGTAAATGCAAATTTAATATCTATAATTCGAAATGACTAGCTCGAATTTGTACCAAATTCTAACAGTGCCAATCTAGGAATTTAAATAACTTACTCAAATTGACACCGATCGCCATCATATGGTAAAATGCAGTGACAGGAATAGGAATTGATACCATCAATGCACGTTCCACCATTCAAACATGGTTGATTTTTGCAATCATCGATATTTGTTTGACATTGATCTCCAGTATAACCGGGGCTACATGAGCACACGTATCCATTTACGTTATCTGTGCAAACTCCACCATGTTGGCACGGATTTGACGCACATTCATTCATCTGGAATTTTATAAATCTCAAATTAAGGAAATAAGAAAACTCAAAAAATGGAAAATATATGTTGATCAGAGAATGGCTTGCATTCTCCAATTTTTTCTGAAACTTCAAATATTAACTATAATTGCACAAAATTAAAGGAGTACTTCTTGCTTGCACTCATGTCCGTAGAAGCCTAATTTACATTCACATTTATAGGTTGCGCCATCATTTATCGGTATGCACATAGCATTGGAAGGACAGTTATTATATCTGCAAGGATCCGATTTCTTTTCACATAGATCTCCAGTAAATCCCGGAGGACAACGACATGAACCCTTGGAACACATGCCACCGTTCAAGCAATCCTCCGATCTACATTCTACATACTGTCGACGTTCGCAGTTTTCACCTTCGTAACCAGCTGGACACCGAAGCTCACAGCGACTACCGTGAAACCCTGAAATTAGGAAAAATCTCTTCATTCCAATAATTTTTTCATATAAAACTCAGTAAACAAATGATGCAAAATTTCAAATATAAAACCTAACCTGACATACATACACACTTGTACCGAGTTCCATAATCCAAACAAGTTCCGGAATTCAAACATGGGTTACTGGAACACTGATTTATGTGGGTTTGACAATGCCAATCAGTATAACCGGGGGGACATTCACAATGAAATGAACCAGGCGTGTTCACGCATGTACCACCATTATAGCAAACAATGTAACCCTGAAAAGTTTGCATAAAAGAAATAACTAAACTGCGCCAGAACCACAAATTATAAATGGCCAGAGATAATCTGTGCATAAAAACTTTTAGAATCTTCAAGAAATACTTGAATCAGGATTTGCTGCAAACTATTGGCACATAACTCAAAGGATCTTATCTAACATCACTGGATATTTTTTTGATCCCAAGCAAATCAAATGATTCGATTTCATTCAAGTAAATCTTCCCACCTGATTACATTCATTAACATCTTCAGAACAATCCTCTCCCATGTATCCTTTAGGGCATTCACAAGTAAATTTTCCACTTGATGTGTCTGGTTCACAAACTGAACCGACTCGGCAGGGATTCGACAAACAAGGATCTTCCATGTGACAAAATAATCCTGTAAGGCTTAAGCATAAAAAAGTAGAATCAGTATCTATTTTACATTAATGCAAACAACTGATTTCAATCTCAAGCTACACAAATGATTTTATATAAAATTCTTATGAGCTACTCATTATTCTTAATGCGAATAAATAATGTCACACATTTGTGATACTTGCGGAATACATCACAGTAGAAAATTATATGATTCCATGCAGTATCTCATTTCATATTCTTGTAATTAATTTTGATCTCCATTAGAATATCATGTGTTAAAACTTGCCAATTCGACCCGGTGGACATTCACACGTATATTTGGCTAAGTGATCCACGCATGTACTTCCAGCCTCGCAAAGTGCGTCCACGCAATCATCTTTGTTTATCTCACAATGAATTCCTTCCCAACCATTTACGCACACGCAGTGGTATCCTTCCTTCTTGTTAAAACAGGTTGCACCATTCTTGCATTCGTGTAGGCCCAATTCACATTCATCTATATCTTCCTCACAAAAACGGCCTAAAATGTTCTTTTGATTTTTGCAACTTAGTGATTCCGATTGGGCGTTTTGAGATAAATTATTCAAAGCTAAACAATATAGCATAATTTTTAAAAATTAAATCAATAAATGTAAATTTAAAAAGCAGATGATTTAAATTTTTAATAACTAAAAAATTTAAATAAACAGATTATCTCCATATATCAAATATTTGAATCTCATCAATTTCTTTGTCCTTTAAAAGCAATAAAGTTTAAAAAAATAAAAAATAAAAGTAAAGCTATCATTTATATATTTTTATTTCTTTCTATTTTCCACTCCCATTAAACATTTCGAAGAGACTCGAAAAGTCATTGACTTTGTCAAAAACTTCCCTCCATAATGTTTTTTGAGTCTGTATTACTACAATTATCATATATTGTCGTTCTTCAGAGATAAATTAATTACTCACTCTACAGTAGTTATGGGGATATCATTAATGAAGTAGATTAATACGTTAATGAATTAAATTCAAATATCTTCACAGTAATTAAAAGTTCTAGTTAAGTTGCAAGCATAGATTGTGCTTCTACTATGTTAGTGACATCAGTCATGTTTATGTTATTTTCAGCCAAAATCGAAACTAATAATTCAGTGTTGGCGGATTTTATTTTCGAGACATGCATCTGCTCTTTCCTATAGAAATCGTTTGTCACATATCACGTAAATCACGGAGTTCATGATCTAATTAATGTGTATTTTATGCAAGCTAAATCAGCGCAGAAATAAATCGGACTTTCCATGTTAATGCCTTGAGTCAACACTTTTTACGTTAATACTTGAAGTGTGTTAATTTTGAAATGGTCATATGTGCGACCATTCGTAAATGATTCTATGACCAATTCGAATTCATACTGAAGTAAAGAAAAGGGACGTAAAATGACGTGATTTAAAACTGAAAAGTGTGAATTATTTGCTATGTTGTTGATACAAGAAGCAAAGATGCTTGCTTGAAGAGAACAAAAAAGGGAAAGAAATTAAATTGGTGAAATTGACAGGCCGTAAAAACGGCAGATGTTCAATGTGTGTGAGAAATAAATGTCTTACAATTTCAACGTCCAATACGCGAAACTTTTCGTTTCTTTCAAACATCAAAATGACAACTTTTATTATTGGGAAAGTTTGAATAGATAGATCAGATCGCAGATCAAATTTTACAACTCTGATCAAGAAGGAATAAATGTATGCATGTAAATATGACAGTTCGTGAGAAAAAAACTGGTTCTTGACTCTCTTGATAATGAGCTAAACAAAATGCTTCGAAGACACGCTCAAACCCGCCACTTGATCTAGCATAAATGGATTCTTAACTAATCATAGGCTAACTTGTTGACTAATTAACATCAGTAAACTATAAATGCTGTAAAAATTTACTTCATGAATTACACAACAGATGAGTAATATTAGTGGATAACAGAGCGAATTGCACTTGCCAAGTATATTAAAAACTGCTATATGAATACATAAACCCATAGACTAGTAAAAATTAAGATCAAAACTACAGTCCCAGTAATTCCTTGGAAAATCGTTCTCTTGTTTGACTTGCAATAAATTGAACTTGATTTGCATGCCCTACTTTTCAAGCTCTTTTCAAAGTCCCACTAGAGATAAGCTAGCTGTAATTAGATCACAATGAATTAAGATTCATGACACGTTAAGAATGACACAAATCCACTATATATGTATACGTCCCGAACTGCTGGACATGATATAATGGGTCATAAATTGTGAAATTAGTTCATTAATTTTGGTACAAACTGTTCCTTCACTTCAGCATTATATATTCACTGCTAATTCCACTTCAGTGAGAAAATTAGAAATATTTGCTCGACAAAGATAATGTACAATATCATTAGACGTATTCATTTATTCTACGTGGGGAATGGTTAATATTTATTAGGTCATATGGAAATTACTTGAAAAGGTCATATTTTTATTAGCTTAGTTTACAACATCGCATAGTTTCTGCATAGTAGATTTATTATACACCTTTTGAAACTAAAGTTAGTGTGTATGGGAAGCAGGGATTGTTTATGACCTCTGTGACAGATCAAATAAAGTTATGGCTTTACAACTTGGGATAATAATAAAAACTAGAGCTGCATTTACTCTTTAGAATTAAGCAAGTGCTTGATGACATTTAAGACTAATTTTGTGCATGTAATAGATTAATACACGAGAAATTTCGTACAGTAAACAGTTTAGTGCTTTTACAGAAATGTTTTATTTCTACAATACAAAATGTAACGCCCAAACTATTACTGATATTGGTAATAACTATATGCTAAACTAAGAGATTGATAAAAATTATGGTCCTCTTTTTTGATTTATTCACAAACTACTTATACAGAAGAAGTAAATTCATAATTAACAAGGCTGGCTAAAAATGGCAGTAAAAATCCCACTGAAATCCTCTTAAGATCAATTATGAATACTACTGAGTTATGTTCCCCGCTTAATTAACTTTGTTAACAATGATTATTTTTTACGACAAAAATTATGATTTCTCCATCACTAATAAAAGTTTTTGCTGCATTTTTATAAGAGTCCAGCTCTGACATGCATAATTATGCAATAAAAAACGTCCTCTGAAGTTTTAGTATAGCTCATGAATATTTTTTTACTGATTCCATGAGCAAAATTTCAGCAGCTTTTAGCGTACGTGAATAACGTCCATTTGGAAATACAACTATCATATATATGAACAGATACTTGTTCATATTTATATGTAACTTGTATCAAATATCATAAGCAAATATAAAAATTAACAAACCAGTATAAAATGGCGGACATTTGCATTCGTGGCCTTGTTCACGTTCCACGCATGTTCCACCATTCATGCAAGCGTTTACCGAACAATCATCGATATTAACTTCACAGTGTCTTCCAGTAAAACCTAAAGTATTACTTTATTGATATCATCATCTACATGAAAGGTGCATGAACTATGGAAACGAGATGAATTTAAAAAGAAAGCAATAGGTGAAATCATTCAAAAATCACGCATTTGAGTCCTAATAAGTGACACTAATCAATTTATATGCGCCTCATTTATACTTTAGTACTGTATATAGTAAGTGAACAGATCAGTCAGGTGACCTGCTTGAGTACAAAAACTTTGCAAGTCATAAGATCTGAAAGTCATGAGATATTCACTAATCAGATAGTAATAATGGACCAACATTTTTCAGACATCTTAAACAAGATATATATCGTTAGAACCTTCTCACATTCATTACTAAGTAGTAATTACTTGTAGTTAAAAGATTTATGCAGCCAAGAATTGAGTCCATGTGAAACCAAACACAAAAATATTTGAATAAGCTTACCAGGACGACATTCACAGGAGTACAATCGGTCACGGTAAGCGTAGCATTTCGCGTTATTCTGGCAAGGTAACGTGGAACACGGATCATTTCTTGCGATCGAGAATACTTCGCAGTTGCGACCAGAAAAACTTTGCGGACATTCGCATCGATATGAACCGAACTGTAATGAAAGTAAAAAATTTCGAAAATTATAACAAAGTTTTTCCTAATTTTTTAAAAAATTAGTAGTAAGATTGATTCTACCTTGCATTTTGAGTAACAGTAATTGCGCAAATTTTAGCAAAACAAATAACTGTATTTTTCTTTAAATAGTGCTAAAGACCTTCAAACAAGCTTACTATTAAATAAAAAATAAGCAAATTTGAATCATTACGACTGAGCAAAGAAACTCAGCTACGTGGACTGAGAAAAAAATTAGGTCCAGTCACAAAATTAGCACAAAAGTAACGTTTAGTCCTTCCGATATGCATACCTCGTTGATACATTTACCACGTAAGCATGGATTTAAGTGGCATTCGTTCACGTCAAGTTCACATTTATTCCCACGGAAACCTTCAAAACATTTGCAGCGGTAACCATCAGAAGTTGAGAGACAAATACCACCATTGAGGCACGGATTACCTTCACAATAATTACGTTCATCACATCGTTCACCTGTAAGCAAACTTTGTCGATAAATGTGAATTTATTCAAATGATCTTTTCAAGACTAATTTAATACCAACTCTATAATTATTTTGACTAAATTCATTGTTTATTGCTGCTGTTTTTTGAGTAAAATACCCAAAATTATTCTGGTATCAATTCACAACTAATTTCAAAGCAATGAAGCATAGAGTTTTTGGGAAAAAAAAACAAACTCATTTATCTTTACGTCCGCTTTTGAATACTTTCAGTTAGATTTTTTTAGGATTCTGATTACAGTATAGTTCAATACGTATAAGACTTAAATTTTTTTGTCGGAAAGTTATAGGTATATGCAAATATGATAGATTATTAACGTATCTATTTCTTCCTTCAAACTATGCTATAATTCCTTCAGTTTCTTTGCAAATAATAAATATTCCATATGCTAAGTTTTCCTACGATTTCTTCATTTTGCGAAAGAAAATTTGTCAGAGAAGCGAAAGTGAATTATTGAAAATGCCAACTTTATAAGTATTATTAAATTAAATTATTACTGACTTTATGGAGCAATTTTGCTTCAAACTTCTTATCTCTCTGGCAAAAATTGAATAATCATATCAAAACTTCCATTTACTCAAAATCATCTAACTTCTGTTACTCACTCACTAATCGCTGTCGGCTGGCTGATAATAAGCATAACTACTATGCAATTCTACAGAATCATAACTTCCACTAAAGTTATAATCTAACTAATCCGATGACTAATCAGAATTTATAATTCATTTCTGGCAATTCACAAAGAAAAACAATCCATATTTTTTGCAACATTTAGCTTGAATTTTGAATTTAAAGTATATTCCACAGCTAATATTTGTGTTACGATTAATCATTTCATACCTGAATATAAAAATAAATTTCAGAGTATAATTAATTGAGTTTGAGTGATCAATAATGTATTCTTAATTACATTACTCAATTTTATTTCTAGCAGAGCAATTTTAAAATTAAATTCAAAATTCTTTTACAAAAATTTTGATACTTTTTTTGATGCAATCATAAATAATAAAAGTAGTCATTTATGTAGTAATCTGTAACAAAAATCAAAATTTCGATTCATTTTTACTTCTTCGAAGAATATTTTTTTCTGCAAAATAAATCATAAAATCCTTAGCCAACTTTTATTTTATTTTCAAAACTATTCCGCCTTTTTGTTATTTTTACAACAATTCTGATAATAACTTTGATAAGGCAAGTATGTCTGATATTTCATTTTGATAAAATGATCCAACAATACAAATGCCCTATTCTCATACACAAATGAAACAAAACTGAACGATGGCAAATGCTACTAAACGCATATTAGTTAGCTAGCAGCTTACAGCTCGAAAAAAGTGCTATAAAAAATATACAAATATTATACGATTTTTTATTTTGTCTTTCGTTGCTTAGCAAGCACATTCATTTATTTTCTCAATTAGCTCAACATTCCATTTTCTGTTCTCTTTCACTAACCACTGACACATCCCATTCCACTACTATTAATATTTTATATTAGTGTTAATGACGATATTAGTCAATGTTAATAAAAATAATATCACTGATAATGATTGACCATTAAAGTCATAATAATGACAGTAAAATTGCATTTTTTATAATATTAACAATAATATTATAATTTAATATGTAATAACGCTATTTGTTCTAACCATATGCACATATGTACAGTGATGTATTGTATATTCCATCCCAATTTTTTTATATAAGAGCTGAAAATATTGTATTGCTTATTGATGGTAGTTGCAAGTGATATAAAAATAAAATACTAATGAAAAAAATAGTAAGGTAATAATAATATTATTTTGCAGTAACGACGATAAGGCATTAATTATACAAAAAACTTTAAAAATCATACAAAAACTTTGTTGCTATTTTTCGGTGATCATTATTAATACTATTAACAAGAAATTTACCATTTTATAGTGTTTATTACTAATGATTCTATTAATATAAAGTTTAATAATTATTCTTTTGTACTAGTCCTTATATCAGTATTTGTAAGACACCGTTTTCTTACATCCATCATCGATGAATAATTCAAGTTTGACATTAATATTGATATTAAATAATAATTAATAATATAATAACATTACAGATAAAACAAAACTAATGCACTAACAAATTTCTACAATTTTCTACAGTTTGTGAATGCTTTTTTGAACTACTTCAAAAGTTTGCTGCAAAGTTTTATTATTAAAAAATAGTGAAAAATAAATGTGTCAAAAAGATGAAATATAAATATTAAGTAAAAAATATAGCAATGATATATTATCAATTAAATTAAAATGAGAATAATTTAAGCCAAACAAAGAATAGGATTGATTATTCTTAAATTTTATATTTTGATAGAAACGATAATTACTCTTTTTTATATTATTCAAAAAATGGAATTTTTTTGAACTGAACCGAATCGATCGAAGTGATTTTTATCTTTTATAATTAGCAATCAAAACGATTTAATTTTATTTTTTGTGTTTGCTTTGGGGTTAATATTTTTAAAAGTTACCGGCGAATATTTTGAATGAATAATTTGACGAATAAATGCGCAAATGATTGGCAAAGATCATAAGCACAATATTGCTGTGCAAAAAGAATTGCAGGCAATGAAAAGGTAAATATTATAGAGAAAAAATTTTTTTTTCAAAAAAAGTAAATACTTTGAACGCAAAAATTTTTAGACCAAACTGTTGTTGACATTTCCCAAGCAAATGGCAATCGGATCAAACGATTGCAATCAAATTTACCCAAAAATTAGATTACTTTTTGTGCAACCAAAAAATAATTATTCTTTCCTTACACGAAAAATAATTACATTTTATTGCTAGACAATAATGAGATAATAGTGATTATGATAAGGATAATGTAAAAGTAATCATTACTGAGATAGTAATGATAATGACAGTAATAAGGAAACTTTCACGAATATGATTTAATTTTTGTCATTTTGTACTATAAATTAATCAACCATTAGCAAGTTTTTTGACATGTCTGTATCAAAAATTCGCTTATATACCTACTCAATCCATCAATTTCCGTTAGCATAAATACGAATTTTAAGAATCTAATTTTTCAGTTTTAAAATGCAACATTTTGTAGTGAGTTTCGAAAAAACTTTTCACTTATTCTTACGAGAATAATCATTTTGAAATGAAATATAAGCAAATAATGGAAAAGAAATTGGCGGCATATAATAGTAGAGCAAAAATTGCTGAGGTGAAAGGTCAGAAACTTGCCAACTAGGATTAACAGTTAGCCAGCAGCAATCGCGAAAATAAACAATAAAAGCGCTTGCTTTTTTTTCCTATGCCACCAGCAGAGAAATAAATTCAAATAAGTTTCTATAATATTTTACAAATGAATAATTGTGAGTCAAAAAAGGACTGTTAGAAGTTGTAAAGAACTCTATAAAGCAATAATTTCTGAAAAAAAACTTTTCGTTTTTTATGTCTAAAAGACCCCCCGTAGATGAGAATTCCCGGGAGTCCCCACAGGGACTGCGAGAAAGCTATAGAACTATGAAAATTCACTTCTACTGGAACATCGATATGTCAAAATCTTTTCAAATGTGTTTTTATTTTTCCGTTTCTTTGTTGCTTTAATTTATTAATGCCAAGTTGGGAAAGTAATTAAACATGTGAAGACAATTAACAGTGAAAAATGAAAGGTAATGCAAGTTTATTGTTCGATTTATATGGAGTAATCCACTTTGTTAGTCAAAAAGAGTATTGGTCTTACGTAACACGTTTTACTTAAGTAAATAGACGTGAGATTCAAAGAAATAAACGAACCGATGAAACCAGTTTTGCATTCACATCGAAACATATCCAAGGACTTGGTGAGAATACATCGGCCGTGCACGCAAGGGGCCTCATCACATTTGCTTGGCTGTTGATGTTCACACAGTGTCCCATTGAAGCCTTAAAATTCTTGCAGTAGAAATCACACTAGAGTAAATATTATCATTGTTATCAAAACTTCATCGAAAATAAAAATATTTTGTGCATAACTTAATACAATCTCCAGTTCTTTATTTTTCTATAATTATTAGTAATAAATTAATCAGTTATTATGGAAAACCAAATTTATTTTTTTTTAAATAAGCAATAGATTGATCATTTTTTAAACTTATTTATTTAAGTCAAAAAATTGGAATTGGTCGTTTTGTAAGAATTCTTGAAATTTTGGTAGTGCCAACTTGTAAAATATCAATACTAAAGCCTATCAATGTTAGATCGAGTAAAAACCTCAAGTTTCTGTTAAAAAATATCAATTAGCAGTGCCAGTATTTCTTGAAATTTTTATGTATATTTTTCACTCCAAGCCTTGCCAGTCTTCAAATTGCCCTCTATCACTTTCTCCTTGCAATTTTTATGCTCAAGTCTTTCACAACTATCTTATTTATATAAAACTTTGCGGCATGAATGCAAATCCCTTAATTTTTACATTCCGCGCAACCTATGGCTTACGTATAATTTATTTGTAAGAATTCTCGAGTCTTTCATTGCAAGCCACCCACAAACTTTCGACTGCCTATCATTTTAGACATCTCGAATAGAGCATCTTGGATATAATGTATTCGTCAGAAACATATTTTCTGACTGATTATAAATTTTGGCATTGAAATGGCAAATGAGACAGACTGCTACTTCCTTTTCTACTCTTAGCTTCAACAATGCAAGAAAACTGCTACTCATTGTTGGTTTTTCATACTGTTTTCTATAAATATGCAAATTTCTCGCTACCGCGTCATTATTACAATCACTAAACATAGCCATAATGTATAAGCTTCGTACAAATTTCATTGTCATGATCCAAATTCTACAATATACAATACGGCATAAATTAATGAATTGACTTGATGAAAACCAATTTTGCCAGCGTTCTATAATATCAATTTCAAATTATTATTACATTTTTTCACTTTGCAAAGTGAAAAAATGCATAATATTGCGAAGAGCTTTTCACTGACCATTCCATTTATTAAAATGGACTCTGGTTAATCAACTTGTAATACTGCAAGCCAAAAATGAACATCGAATGAATCTTCATCTCTCAGAAGCATAAATTTTCTAATTAAAATTTAATTTTTGCAAAACCCCCAAAAAACTTTGTAGAATACCGCGTAAAAATAATGAAAAAAAGCAGCATGAAATTGATGATTAAATCAACCATAGCGATTA